CTTCCTTTCTTATTTTTCTTTTAATTGTGATATCATATTTTCAATTTACTTCATAATCACAAGCTTTATCCTCTACTAAATAAAGAATTCAACAAGTAGTAAGTAGGAAACCACTCTTTCTCAGGAGTATAGACAAGGGCTATAAACAATCAAATCTCAAGATATTAATTTTACTCATGTACATTACATTTTTGTACTGTATAAATTAGTCACCACAAATCAGAGAAAACATGATATTTCTCTTTTTGGGACTAGTTTATTTCACCGAGCATAATGGTCTCTAATTGCATCCATTTTGTTATGAAAATATTTCAATCTCTTTATGGCCAAGTAATATCCCATTGTGTGTATATACCACATTTTTTATTGAGTTATCAGTTGATGGACATCTGGATTAATTCCATATCTTAGCTATTATGAATTGAGCTGCAATAAACTCGGGGGTACAGATAACTCTTTCACATAAGGGTTTCATTTGGTTTGGGTAGATTCCTGTTAAAATCTAAGTGCTGGGCCGGTGCTGAGGTTTAGTGGGTAAAGCCGCCGCCTACAGGGCCGGCATCCCATATGGGCACTGGTTCTAGTCCTGGCTGCTCTACTTCCAATCCACCTCTCTGCTATAGACTGAGAAAGCAGAATATGGCCCAAGTTCTTGGGTCCTTGCACCCCGCGTTGAGACCCAAAAGAAGTACCCTGGCTCCTGGCTTCGTATCAGCCCAGCTCCAGCCTTCGTGACCATTTGGGGAGTGAACCAGTGGATGGAAAACCTTTCTCTCTCTCTCTCTCTCTCTCTCTCTCTCTCTCTCTCTCTCTCTGTGCCTCTGTCTCTGTCTCTCTGTAACTCTAACTTTCAAATAAATAAATCTTAAAAAAAAATCTAATTGTGTAATAGGACGAAATCACCAGGATGCTACTCCATGTTTTCCTTTTGTTCTGTGTTCACAAATTGGCCCTGTGCTTTGCCCTGAATTTAAAAACAGTGCAGGGGCCAGTGCTGTGGTGTGGCAGGTAAAGCTGCCACCTGCAGTGCCAGTTTCCCCTATGGGTGCCGGTTCTAGTCCCAGCTGCTCCACTTCCGATCCAGCTCTCTGCTATGGCCGGGGGGGGGGGGGGGGGCAGTGGAAGATGGCCCAAGTCCTTGGGCCCCTGCACCCGCATGGGAGACCTGGAGGAAACTCCCAGCTCCTGGCTTTGGATCAGCGCAGCTCCAGCTGTTGTGGCCAGTTGGGGAGTGAACCAGTGAATGGAAGACCTCTCTCCCTCTTTCTCTCTCTCTGTGTAACTCTGACTTTCAAATAAATAAATAAATCTTTATAATATAAAAAAAAAATGCAGAGGAGAATGCAGCATCCTGGATGCTGCTTGTCCTCAAAGGATTTCAGAGCATTGGTGAATGGGCCTGTTGATGCCTGCTCTGTGAAACCTTCATTTTCAAGAAATGGAATTGACTTGTTCAGAGCTGTGGTCAGATGAAAACCAGCAGTTACGAGGTCAGGACTAGCCTTGAGTGTTCCTAATGTGTAGGCTAACACTTCTGACCCAACCACAAGAGAGGTGTCATCATTTTCACAATTCTGCTGGCTGCTGCCAATTTGGTTGGTAACTGTGAACATGGGTATGGGGTAGCTGTTCTCGTTCTTTATGTTTGTAGAAATTGCTTCAACTTGATCTTCTGTCTGATGAATTTTAGCATCTGCATTTTTTTTTTTTTTTGCCATATTCTGTTACAGGGACTGCCTCTCCTTGCTCTCCTCCTTCATATCTGTATTCTATCCAAAATACACCAGAATAGCACACTCCTAACATTTTAAACCTTTTGTAGGGTAACTTCATTTCATCCAAGGTGGAAGCTTTCTGCTGCTGCTGGGGAAGAAACAAAAGTTTAAAAATAAAACTCAGGCATAAAAATAGGGCCCAATGTTAAGGGCTGCCTCACTGAGCTGAATGCTGAAGTTAAGTCAACAGTGCTAAACCAAGCCTTTATGTGGAAGTTGAGAAATTTTTTTTTTTTTACTTATAGACCTTTATCATAGATAATAAATGAATTATTGTAATTTGTTATTTTATTCAAAATATTGATTTAAATAGTCTCAAGGAACCAATTTTTTTGCTCATGCCGATCCTTCATTTGGGTGCTTGTATTCATGAGTATTTGGTTATGGATGTTTTAGGCTTCAGTGGGAGAGACTACAGGTGCAGGCAGAGCCAGGAATAAGCACGCAAGGCTTGGGAGGCCAGGCTGAATAATTCAGACCTTACTCTGATTGTAGTGAGAAGTCCCTGGAGAGATATAATTAGAAGAACGTTATAGAACGATTTATATTTAAAAAATAATGACTGCCAAATGTGTGGACAGTAGATTGTAAGAAGGCAAGAATAGGAAAGGAGAAATGAACCAAATGTCTGCTTTTAGATATCCAGATAAGAAATTATAGTGACTTTGGAGCAGCCTGGTAATAGTAGATTTGGAGTGGTCAAATAATGAAGTTTATTAAAACAGTCACAAAAAGAATGATTAATGGATTAGAATAGAAATGGGGTATGAAGGAAAGACTGAAGTTTCTGGTCTGAAAAACTGGAAAAAATTGTATTAGTTATTGAGAGGAAGGTGAGAGAATGGACAGGATAATTTTTCTTGTTTGAGATAGGGCTCGGTTTTGAAACAATGAGTTGGAAAAAGGTGTTTATGTTAATTTTGTGTTGTGTGTAGGGCATCTAAATGAGCCAGGAACTCAAACTGAATCTTTCTTGTGAGTGGCAGGAACCCAACTCATTGAGCCATCGCCTTCTGCCTCAAGAGTGTACATTTGCAGGAAGCTAGAATGAAGAGCAGAAACAGGACTCAAACCTAGATAGCATGATAAAAGATGTGGGCATCCAAGTGACATTTTAAGTGTTATATCAAATTCTCATCTCTCCAAGGTATTTCTTAAAGAGTAAAACTTAGCTGTGATCTTATCATCTGAGAAAATCAATTCTGTTTTAATTATTTGAAACTGTGTTGTGTGTGTGTATGTTTTGTCATCTGTATTTTGTCATATGAAGACACAGGAGACCTCGAATAGCTAAAGCAATCTTGTACAACAAAAACAGCTGGAGGCATCACAATACCAGATTTCAGGACATACTACAGGGCAGTTGTAATCAAAACAGCATGGTACTGGTACAGAAACAGATGGATAGACCAATGGAACAGAATTGAAACACCAGAAATCAATCCAAACATCTACAGCCAACTCATATTTGATCAAGGATCCAAAACCAATCCCTGGAGTAAGGACAGTCTATTCAATAAATGGTGCTGGGAAAATTGGATTTCCACGTGCAGAATCATGAAGCAAGACCCCTACCTTTCACCTTACACAAAAATTCACTCAACATGGAATAAAGACTTAAATCTACGACCCAACACCATCAAATTATTAGAGAGCATTGGAGAAACTCTGCAAGATATAGGTACCGGCAATGACTTCTTGGAAAACACCCCAGAAGCACAGACAGTCAAAGCCATTTTTTCTAATTACAATTTTTTTTTTTTATTTTCAAGGGCATATTTAGAGCATGGGTAACAATCACAGACAGGTGCAAGATAACAGGCTGCCCACACAAGCCAAGGCCTCGAGTGCTGCTGAACTATGCAGAAATTGGCTACATAAGCTAGAATAGTACCTTCCTAATCTAATCTTTACTAGAAGCCCCAAGTTCAAAGCAGACCCTTTTTAAAATGTACCCCCTCTTTGCAGTTCTTTCTGTAATTTTTTAATTTCTTTATTGTACTTATTTAAAGGTTCACTTAGCTCTATTCTACAGTTTTGACATCCTAACCATTGTAGTATTTGTAGCATATAGTGAATTAAAGCTTTATTAGCATCTATCTTTATTCTAGTGGGAAGTATATACCAGAGAGCCTGTTGCCTTTTAAATCTTTTCTGCAAACAGCTCAACCTTGCATAAGGCATTAACCCTTTCTTCTACACTAACATTCTGCTTGATTAAAATTCTACAAGGCAATGGACATTTTGGAGGTTATGAGACTAAGTGCTCTTCCGTAAAATTAGTAATACAGCAGTCATTAGCAGGACCACCAGGAAGCTCCAACTTGTAGTTCCCATCAAATCTAAAACCACCAAGAGGACCGCAGCTGTCCTTCTCATGCCTTGCTCTTGCTGTGACCTTGTCAGCCAGCTGAAGTTGCCTTGGCCTCGTCAATGTCTATTGTAGAAAGCTTTAAAAATGAGAAGAATTGGGGCCGGCGCTTTGGCACAGTAGGTTAATCCTCCGCCTGTGGCACCGGCATCCCATTTGGGCACCAGTTTTTTCCTGGCTGCTCCTCCTCCGATCTAACTCCCTGCTGTGGCCTGGGATAGCAGTAGAGGATGGCCCAAGAGCTTAGGCACCTGCAACTGCATGGGAGACCAGGAAGAAGCACCTGGCTCCTGGCTTTGCATTGGCGTAGCTCCAACTGTTGCGGCCATCTAGGAAGTGAACCAACAGAAGGAAGACCTTTCTCTCTGTCTTTCCCTCTCACTGTCTGTAACTCTACCACTCAAATAAATAAATAAAAATCTTTTAAAAAATGAGAATTATAATGCAAATACTCACTGTTGAATGCCTACTAAATATGTATTCATTCCACAGCCATTTCTCAGCACCTATTTTACAGCAGGCACTGCTTCAGATAGGAAAGCTGATTTTCAGAGCTGACATCCTTGTGTATAACATGTGATATATCCTGTTACTCTCCCTGGGCAGAAATAATGAGCTTTTTAAAAAGGGATCATAATTTTTAAAAGTTGAATTGTAATCTTATTTTTCTCCTTTAACATATTAAGAACTTCCTTCCATACCATTCAACTTGTAAATCATGGTTAATGGCTACAGAATTATTTGTGGGTATGTACCATAGTTGAACTAATCATCTATGAACAAACCTAATAAATTCTTTTCCAATTCCTTTGTGCATTTAAAATCCATAACATAACCTTTATTCTTGTTGGTAGCCTTAACTAATACGACTTCCAGAAGATCTGAAGATGCAGACAGTGCTGTCTTTCTTCCTCATTTTCATACGGTCTCTTAGTGGATTTCAAGGTAATTGCATTAAAATGCACACAGATGCTGGTTATTTATGTCATAGGAGAGGAACATTAACAGACAATGCAAAGTGGCTGTTTCCTCTATATCCACAACTGTTTCCTCTGTATCCAAAGGAAAGTGATCAGTTAATGAGGAACAGGCAATAAAGTAACAATTTGCCTGAAAATTAAAAAAAAAAAATTCTATTCACTCAGATTAAGGCAGTTTCTGATTAGTTATGTGCTACCAGAAATAAAATTACTAGAAAGGAAAGCTTGATAGAATGCTTCTTTTGAAATATTTATTTATTTTAAAAGCAGAGTGACAAAAAGAGAGAAACAGAGAAAGATAAGAGAGATCGTCCATCCCCTGGTTCACTCCCCAGTTGTCTGCAATAGCTGGGTCTGGATCAGGCTAAAGCCAGAATCCACAAACTTTATCTGGGTCTCCTACCTGAATGGTACCAAATCTAGTACTAGAGCCATCTTCTGCTGCCTCCCAGGTGCGTTAGTCCGAAACTAGATCAGAAGCATGATAGTGGGGACTCTAACCAGGCACTTCAGTATGGGATATGGGCATCCCAGATGATGGCTTATCCAACTGCACCACAATGCATGCAATGGATTGTTTTTTTTTTTTTTAATGTAAGATTGGTACATAATGCAAAGCAGAAGCATTATCAGCTTTGTTAGGTCTTTTGACAGATGTCCTTATTCTCTGATGAAGTATTAGAGGGATTAAGTAAAGCAATTAGGGAGATCAACAGTCACTCTTTTTCTTTTGAACCTTCCTATGACTTTATGTCAACATATTCCACAACGTTTTAGTTATCTGCTGAGAAACTAAGTTTCTCTGAGGAAGACATGTGGGACTTGGAAGAGTGGGGGGAGCCTCATAGGAGTGGAAGGGGACAAGACTTTGTGGCAGAACCACGTGCACACTCTATTCTCCCATGTTGGGTGGCCTTGACAATCATCCAGCTGATTTCACTCCTTCATCAATAAAATAAGTTCCTTTCTTGTCCAAATATCTTTAAATTCATAGTGCAAAAACTTAAGATAATTTGTGAATTGGTCAAAAAATTAGCAATATCCAATTATTCCGTACTATTATATGTAATGTTACAGTATCCTTATATTATTAAATATTCTTTAATGATATAAGCAACTACATGTATTTCCTTTGCAAAAACCCTTAATTTCATTTGATTTTGAAATCAACTGAAGTTGATAATAAAACAACAAGCAAATCAAGAGAATTAACCACGCACGTTTACATCCAGGATAATATTCTAAACCAAATTTAATTGACTCATAGGATATCTTGAGAGTAATCCTATGTCAAAGAAATTAATTTCCCTTTTTGGACTCATTCTATTATATATTTCACTGCTTGAGACTAATATCCAGTCATTCTTACTAGATTGCAGAATCCAGCATTGTTTTTTATGTACACCAAATATTCCTGGCCCAACCAAACTAAATTTGTTCCATTATTTTAAGATCTCCTAGCTTTAGTTAGCTGGTAAACTGACTTCATTGTTTTGTTGTTATTATTATTATTATTACTATTACTACTACTGTAGGTGTTAAATATGATTGTGTTGTGTTCCTGGAATGAAAATCAAGAGGAGTCATTTGTATACATAATTTCATATTTTTAATATTTGAATGTACAGAATCTACATGCAGCTTCCCTCACTGTAGCAGGTGAGAATTGGAAAAGAGATGAGACTGTTGACCAAGTAGGCAGCAAACTGGTGTTTCTCTGCTTTGAGCATAGAAATTCACATAGTCACATTGAATCAATGAAATATTCAGTTAAAATTAAGTCAGTTAGCTTCATGTCTTGTTTCTAATAGACTATGAAGAATTTATATCTGCTCATTATAGATATGATACATTGTATATAATTATGTTGTATATAATAGTTAATATATTATAAAGTAAAGTTATATATATGGAGGTATTTTCTAATGAGTTAGTTCTAGAACTTTTTCCTTCTCCCTCTGTCCCATTAACTGCTATAGAATTTGACTTGGAAATCTTAAGGAAACCATTGCTTAGGCTGGCTGCATCCCATATCGGAATTCCTGGGATCAGCTCAGACCTCTGCTTCCAATCCATCTTCCTGTAATGTACATCCTGGGAGACAATAGGTGATGGCTTGAGTGCTTGGGCCACAGCCACCTACATGGGGACCCAGATGACTTTTGGCTTCAGCCTGGGTCTGCCCCAGCTACTGTCAACAACTGAGGAGTGAACCAGAGGGTGGAAGATATCTCGCCTTAAAAAAAAAAAAAAAAAAAAAGAAAGGAGGGAGAGAGGGAGAAGGAGAGGAAAAGAGGGAGAGGGAGAGAGAGTAAGAGAGAGGGAGAGAGATCTCTGAATAATACGTAAACCAGGAGTCAAATAGGCTCTTAGTATCTAAAGAGTAGAGACTGCTACATGAACTCCAGTTTATAGACTGTGACATTCACGTTTTGTTTGCTCAGTGAGGCCATTAGATTTCTTTTCAAGCCATGTTTCTAGAGAATTGAGATAGCTAGTTGCTCTTTATCCATGCATTTTTTTAAATTTTTTTCTGGATAGCTTCATTATATCTTAATGTTCTATAGACTTTTTGTTATGCTTTGCTTTTCTGAAACTTTCAGTAACTGCTTAGTTTTGTTCATAACATTAAGGCATTCAAGTAATGGGTAAATTATAAGTACATATTCTACACAGATGGCCTAAAAAGAAATTAGTGATGATACTTCATAATGTGCCCTTCTTTCTTCTGCATAGCTTTTCTCATGCCTGTGATGTATGAAAAGAGGAACGCAACTTCTTCACATGCAGCATGTTAAGTTTTTATCTTCATCTTCATATACCTTGTAAGATGGATAATACGTCTCTCTGAAAGAAATACAGAAGAAACTGTTTTTTGTCATTTTTGTATTAACAGTACACTGAATGTAATAGGATCAAATTCATCTTATGAATGTGCAATTGAAAATTCACTGCTGAAGGAAACATGTGCAGTGCAGTGGGCACTAGGGGATGGATTCCATTGGAGTTTCTGTGTATGAGTGTTATACAGTGACTGGGAGGTAATAGGGATCGCTTTACCAGGAAAGAAAGGAAGAAAATCCTCCATGGGAGTTAGAAGACCAAGCCTGATTTTCCAGGGCTAATCTTAACGTGGCTGGATTACTTTATGAAAGCATTTTTACATCTGAATTTTAGATCCTCATTGGCACATAATTATTATCTTGTTAAATCTTCACAATTTTAATGAAAACATTTGTGAAAGAGAAAGTGGAAAATCATTCCATGAGTATTACCATATTACTCTATATCTCATCCTCCAAAGAGGATTTTTACAGCTGCTTTACAGTTATTGCAGAAGGAATGCTTGTTACTTAACTGGTCATAAACCTCTAATTATCCTCAACCTTTCAACTAAACAAAAATTAACTAATATTATTATCTTTGTTAGTTTCCTTCTGTGTATTATTCCCTTAATCTTTAATAACTCTGTCACCATCTACTCAACTTTTACCATGGCTTCCTCTCATTTATTTGCATGAACTGAAATCTGATCAATCCCTATATCTGTGCCCCACAGTTTAAGAAAATATTATTGGAAAGAAAAGTTAAGTTGACACCTCCCTACCAAATCCCAAGGATAATTATTATTTCATATTTATTAGAAGCAAAACAAAACTTCAAAACATTTTCTGTCAATTTTGCTTATTTGGTGAGCATGGAGTTAGCTAGTCTTCTGCCTTCTCTTTCTCAGCGTTTTGTGTGCTCAACATGCTCACCATGAAAATACTGAAGTTGTGCGTGGTTCACCACATTTATGAGATTCACATTTGAAAGGGGCGAGCATTCAATGTTCTTTCTCTGTCACTCAGGCAGCAAAGGAAACATTGGAAAATGTTGAAGATATTAAGATTCCATTGTAAATATTTTCTTTGGAAAATCATTAATTTGTCACATTTATTTTGTGTTAAGTATCCTAAAGCACTCAAAGTTCTTTAAACTCAGTACTCTTGTCTTATTATTAGGAATCTATTGTGAGCTCAGCTTTATTGCACCGATTTTGAACTTAAGCCTGTGGACTATTGCTCATTTCTGGATCCACAGCATATACTGCAAACCTGTAAAAGTAAGACCAAACCGGGAATGGTAGAATACAAAAAGAGTGACTAATTCTGTGTATAATGGTTGGGTATGAAAGAGGTTGTTAGAGAATATGTACTGAAGGAGCTTGCCTAAGAGTGGGACTTTAAAAGGACTAGGAGGGCCGGCGCCGCGGCACACTAGGCTAATCCTCCGCCTAGCGGCACCGGCACACCGGGTTCTAGTCCCGGTCGGGGCACTGGATTCTGTCCCAGTTGCCCCTCTTCCAAGCCAGCTCTCTGCTGTGGCCTGGGAGTGCAGTGGAGAATGGCCCAAGTGCTTGGGCCCTGCACCCCATGGGAGACCAGGAGAAGTACCTGGCTCCTGCCATCGGATCAGCGCAGTGCGCCGGCCGCAGCAGGCCGGCCATGGCGGCCATTGGAGGGTGAACCAACGGCAAAGGAAGACCTTTCTCTCTGTCTCTCTCTCACTGTCCACTCTGCCTGTCAAAAAATAAAAATAAAAAAAAAAAATTTAAAAAAAGGACTAGGAGGAGATTCCCCACATTCCAGTTCAGCACAGTATGTGCAAAAGCCCAGTGGGGCAAAATTCCTGAGTTTGTAGAAGTATGAGATGACTGAGGGTGAAATTAGAAGATCAAGAGACGAGCTTAAAGAGGGAGACAAAAACTAGATTCAAGACTTTCTATGAATTTCAAAGGCGATTGAATTGGGTCATAGACATAGGATGGAGTAAAAGAAGGGTTTGAAGCATCAGAGTGATCTTGGATTTGCATTTTAGAAATTTTGCTTTGGCATCACTATGGAACTGTGGACTAGAAGGCAGTGGAGTCTAGAGCCATGGAGAACAATTCTTGAGAGTATACAGAGATCACCCTGGAAAACTCCAGAACTGGAAGGACAAAATGGACCTGGGCCTGGAGGGGACATATTGAGAATGCCCTGCAGAGTCCCTCTTCTGAAAGAGTTCACTCCAGTTGGGGACTAGCTACACAGAATAGGAACAGACTTCCTATGTACAGGAAAAGAGGATTTGTGTGAATAGATAAGAAGCAATTGAGACCATGAAATATGAGTGACCACCAGAGAATAAGTGGAGCAACAGTTGCTTAGCCCTGGGAAAAGGAACCTTTCAGGGATCAACAGAATGTAGAGTTAAAAGGGCTAGGGACAAACACATAGCCATATTGCTGTCGGGACTATTAGGCAGTAGGAATTCCGACCCAGGTACTCTTGCTCACCCCAGTCTTAGCCTATATTGGGGGGAAACTCTAAAATCAAGTTAGTAAAGCTTTTGTTTTATGATATAAATAAGTTTTCATTTAACAAAAATTCCCATTTTTCATATATTTAATAGGAAATAATTACAATGTTATATAATTGTTCAGTCAGTAAAATTTTATCTTTCAGATCATATCATTTTTCTTTAAAATCTGTGCATACTCTTACAATGCTTTCAAAACTAGATTTTGATTGACTTGAATCATCAGAAGATCCTGGAGGGGATGCCTTATTGGATTCAGCTTTAAATTCAGCAGCAGTGCTTTCTTTTTCTGACTCTCTAGGCCTGCTTTTACCCAGACTTCCTCCACGTCTTAGGCAAGTTGTTCTCCATGTTATCTGAAGGTTGTGGTCTTGATGTCGGAATTACTGAGTTTTCTAGAGGAAGGTTTCTATCGGATTTTTCCTCTAGAATAAGGTTTCCATTAGGATTTTTCTGCAACATGGTAGTTATAGGACTAGCCTTCTAGTGAGAGTGCTGAGTAAAGAATTGTGACAAGTTTGGTATTAATTTCCGTTAGCCTCTAAGTAGTCTTTGTTTAGTTCAGTTGACAGTAATTTTGTAACTTAATTCTCCAATATAGAATTGCTTATGGTTTTCTAACTCAACTTATTACAATAATCTTCTTGAGCAGTTTTCATTTTGGAGAGTTATGATACTTAAAAAAAAAAAAAAGATGTATTTATTTAAAAGGCAGAGAAACAGAGAGCTCTTCCATCCACTGGTTAGCTCCCAAATGTCCACAATAGCCAGGGCTGGGTCAGGCCAAAGCCAAGAGCCACTCCATGTAGGTCTCCCTGTGGATGAGACTATCATCTGCTTCCTTCCCAGGTACAGTACTTGAACTGGTACTAACATACAGATGTGAGCTTTCAAAGTGGTAGCTTAAGCCACTGCCCAACAACTCCCACCCCCAAATTCCAGAACTTTAATTCAGCGTTGAATTTCACTTGTTACTGAACTGTTATTATTCTCTCTTTACTGCTCTAAGTTTCTTTAAAATATTGTTTATGCCTGTAGAAACAGACTGACTTTTTAAAAAATTGTATCCTTTATCCAATCTTCCTTTAGTCTCTTGTTTACACTGTGCTGCTTGTCCATATTCAACAGTATTCATTTCTGTATGTTTAGGATTTAAAAAACTTTAGCTTTTAACAGATTTAATGTAGTTCACAGATACAATTATAAGAATATAAGGATATTTCCTCCCTACTTCTACAGCCTTCTTTGTTTCTTTAATTTTTAAGATAATATATTTTAAATTACATTAAAGTAAAAAGGTTTAATGCTTTACCAAATAAGAAGTTTAACAAGTAAAAAGTGAAAAAGTTTGGTGGGGATATAGACGAGGGCTACAAACAGTAATTGAATGGAAAAATCATATCACCATATACAGTAAATTTTAAAGTAATCACAGATCATTAAAACTATATATTGGTTTCACAAAGGTATAAAACAATGTTTTGCAAAGCCATATTTGAAACAAAACTGATAGGTACAAACATTTCTCCTTTTTTTTAAAGATTTATTTTACTTATTTGAAAGGCAGAGTTGCAGAGAGAGGGAGAAACAGAAAGAGAGAGAGAGATCTTCTATATGCTGGTTCACTCCCCAGATGTCCTCAATGGCCAGGGCAGGGCCAGACCAAAGCCAGGAGCCAGGTGACCAGGAGCTTCTTTCAAGTCTCTCATGTGGGCACAGGGCCCAAGCACTTGGGCCATCTTCCACTGCTTTCCCAGGTACATTAGTAGGTAGTTGAATCAGAGCACCATCTTCCACTGCTTTCCCAGGTACATTAGTAGGTAGTTGGATCAGAGCCTGAACTTGAATGGGCACCCATATGAGATGCAGGCATCACAGGTTGTGGCTTTACCTGCTAAACTACAACAGTAGCCCTGAAATTTGTATTTTGTTTTTGTTTTTTGATTTTTTTAAAAAGAATTTTAGCTCCCACACATATATGGCAGTATTTTTCTTTGTCTGGCTTATTTCATTCAACATGATATCTTCCATTTGTACCTGTTTTGATACAAATGGTGAACTTTCATTAATTTTTATAGCCAAATAGTATTCTATTGTGTATATATTCCACATTTTCCTTATCCATTCATCTAATGAGGGATACTTTGGGATCCATATTTTGGCTATTGTAAGCAGTGCTGTTATAAACATGGTAGTGCTGGTATCTCTTTGATAAACAACATGTTCATGTACTTCGGGTGTATGACCACTAGTGGGATTGCTGGGTCATATGGCAAGTCTATTTCTAGTTTTTTTATGAAACTTCATACTGTTTCCTACAGTGACTGCACTAATTTACATTCCCCAAAACAGTGTATAAGTGTTCTTCTCCTTTCACCACATCCTCACCAGCATTTGTTACTCTCTATTTTTGGATTTTAGCCATTCTGAGAGGGATGGATAATAGCTCCCCGAGGTTTTGATTTGCATTTCCAAAAAGGCTAGTGATGTTGAGCATTTTTTCATATATTTATTGGCCATTTGTTTTTCTTCTTTTGAGAACTGTTGAGGTCCGTTGCCCATTCTTTAACTGAATTGGGTTTTGAGTTTTTAAGTTGCTTATGTATTCTGGATGTTAATCCTTTGTTTGATAGGTAGTTCACAAATATTTTTACACCTTGGTTGTTTCTTCACTCTGTTGATTATTTCCTTTGCTGTGCAGAAGCTTCTGAGTTAGACCTCATAATATTTGTTTAGTTTTGTTTTTGTTGCCTGTGCTTTGGGGTCTTGTACAAGAAGTCACCCCCTGCAGTAATATCTTTGATTCCCCTACAGTTAATTGCATCAAGTTCAGAGTCTCGGGTCTTAAATGTAGTTATCCAATCTATCTTGCATTGATTTTTGTATATGGGGAGAGATATGAATCTAATGTCATTCTTCTACATATAACATTTCTGCATGACTTTTGAAGTTTACTATTTGATTCAATTTCTTTTTCTTTTCTAGTCCTCTAGTTTTTCACATTTCTTTTGTAATTTGTTATAGGTTTTAATTCCTATTGAACAACTTGATCCTTTCTCCAGATGTAGACATTTTAGAGATACAGTTTTTGGTTTTGCTGTAAGATCGTTCCTCTTTTTATATTATTCTGAATGTCCACTACAGAGGAACTTATTTTAAAATCTCCATGGGAACCAAATTTTCCTCTTCATATTTGTTTAACTTCCTTCAGTTATATATTTCTAATTCACCATTTTTCTTCATTTCTTCATCTAACTTGTATTTTAGAGATTATTTTATTTCAGTAAGTTTGGTTTTTTATGTCTTCATAAAAAATAGGACTTAACAGATTTTTCTAGAGATCTTCACTTTTTCTAGCTTGCTCTTTGATTTTGATTTTTAGTTCAGAACTTTCACTCAATCTTTTCCAGGTGCTCTTTTATCTTCTCAATATCTAGTACAAGCTCTCTGCTGATGTTGTGATTCTTGGAAATGACTTCGGTTTTAACCTACCTTCTTCTTTAAATCTTGTACTCCTCTTCCGCACCAGCGTGATAACATGTCATGGCCTCTGATGTCCAGTTTTTTTTTTTTTTTAATGGCATCAACCAGTTGTTGTTGAATTAATAGTCTCATAACCACTTCTCTTTCTGCTTTCTCATTTTCATATTGATACAGTCTTTCTTTTACATGATTACATTCATTAACTCTTAATTCCTCTTTTCTATGACTTTGTTTTTTGCTCTCAGCCTGGTGTTTTTCAATATCATAAATAGGCCATGGATATTAATTACTACATCTTATTTGCATCCTTATTTATTAACAAGTGGAGATTTATTAATTGACATTTACTTGAAAGGCAGAGAGACAGAAAGATTGGTTTTTTGCTTGTACACTCCCCAAATAGCTAGGACTGGGCCAAGCTGAAGCCAGACTTCAATCTGATCTCCCATATGGGTGTCAGAGACCCAAGTTCTAAAGCTATCACTTGCCATCTCCCAGGACACACATTAGCAAGAAGCTGGCTTAGAAGCAAAGGAGGCAGAACTCAGACAAGGCACCACAATATGGAATGCAGTCGTATCAAGCAGCAACTTAACCAGCCCCTCATCCTTATTTTGAGCATTAGAAAGATGTTGTTGAACCAACATATTTTCATTTTGTAGTCCTACCTTTCAGTGCATTTGTTCACTTCACCTTGTTCCTTTTGATTCATGTGTTTGGTTTACTTCATTTGACACTGTGCTTGGCTTGGGTCTTTTTGTATGTGCTCTAAAACCAGTCTTTTCTCTGAAAGTATCTCTTGTGTGATGGAGTGTAATTTCTAGGCTATTAAAAGTCCTTTCAGCTTTTGAGAAAGAACCTTATTGTTGTGTTTTGAGTTTCCGACATCAAAATTCCTATTGTGATGTAAACAAAACCATTCACTTCTTGTCTCTGGAAAGCACATCTAATGTGTCCTCTTGATGTCTGAATTTGATCACATTGCGGATAGAAGCAATTGGTCCGGTATAGTATGATTCAGTCTCTGTTTCCAGCCTTCATTTCATATTCAATTCTCTATTTTAGAATTTGCTACTATATTTTCAAATGTCAGGTCACTAAGCTGTCCATTTTAATGGAATATCATTTTCTCTAATGCATTCTTATTCCATTTTATTGTCTTTCAAAGTTCACCATTTTATTTTACATTTTCAATATCCTTATTATATTTATTTTCCTTTTACTTGTTCTAATTTTTACTATGTCTATTTCTTGTCTTAGCATGGCAGTTTCATCCTGGAACAGATCTTTTTCTATTTCATGACTCAGAATTAGTTTTCTTTTAAGCCATTCTGTTTCCTTCAATTTGCAAAAGTGTCCAGTCAGAGTACTGTCTTGCAGTATTCTGATACTCTGTTGTTCAGAAAGTTGCCTCTGGGTTTCTGTTTGCTCTTCTGCAATCTCAGAATCCAAAGCTGATTTTATAGGTTCATCTTCTGATCATACAGACTTCAAATCCCTTTTGTTTTTGAAGATTCCATTACCATAAGTCAGTTTGTCATTATTTGCTCTCATGGAGCACTTTCAATAACATTCATATAATTTTCTCTTTTTATTTTCTTATTGCTGGCTGTTTCACTCCTTCCTTTGACAAGTCAAAATTCCTACTGTGATGTAAACAAAACTATTCACTTCTTCTCTGGAGAGTGCATTTAAGGTGTACTCTTGATGTCTTATTCTGTAAGAAAAGGGCTTGGTAAAACCAGCATGAGTGTTTAGAAGAAGCTCAGGTGGTGATGGTAAGGCAGGACTCTGGACTTTGATGTTTCAGGAACATGTTCAATTACATATCCATTTTGCCTAACTGAATTACTATGGTTATTCCTATTCTCTGGTTCATGTTTGCCTTCTTTATTTTCTCCTGACTTGCTGAGAAGCAGTCAATCACTTCATTATGCTTGGTTTCAGAACATTCTGCTTAGATAGTCTTCAGAAGTCTTATGGCCTTGATGGCTATTTTCATACATTTCAGATCTCTTTTTCTATATTCAGAAATTACTAGGTTAATGTTATAAAAATCTATGGCAAAGAGCATATTTCTCTGCAGTCCTTCCAGAGCTATCTTGAGAAAAGACATCAACACCTTACTGAAAAGGCTGACAGTCTTCATTGATTCTTAGTTTACAGCAGACATGAGCATTGTTCTTTCATCAACTGTATGAATATTTGACTTTTTCTTTATTAAAATTCCACCATTTTCTCTCTAGTTTTATTTATACCAAGGGAAAAAGTGGTATAATGCTACCCTTGAATAGCTAGACTGTGTAAAAGCAATTCTGTTGCTATGACTGTATTCTGACTATAGATCACATAGTAGAGGGATGTTTCCATTGTCCTCTAAGATTTATATCAGTGCCATGTTGGAGTGCCATGTTCTAGCAAAATATTTGCATGTTCATCTTCCTTCCATTTTATAGCCTGAATCAGAGTTGCCCTATTTTTGTTGTCCCAAGTGTCAAGTAGACATTTTCTCCCCATTCAGAGGGTTACCATCCTAGATGGCCATTGGCACAAGTCAAATGCAGACAGTCTCCTCCCTGGATTTTTTGCTGCCTCTTGAGCCCAACACTGGCACTGTAGATGAGCCATATGGTCTCATTGCAGAGCTCCAATGTTTCCATTCTTCAGCTCACAGCCACTATGGGCAGGTAACACTGCTAATATTGCACCAGGTGCCACAGGAGCAGTAAAGCTTTTTTTTAAGGAACTTCACAACATAAATATGATTACTTTTTTAAAAAAAGACATTTCCAAAAATATCAACAAGATAGTCTTTTTCCTGCTAAGTGCAATTTAGAGTAACATGTGACAATTTAATTTTTGTTGATGTCACCTCTTCTATTCTGTTTAGATAGCCTTTACAAAATACAAAGAAAGCATCTTTCACTCACATATCAGTTTGTAAACAAATTTTTTTCTACAAAATCAGTGCTTCATAGTTTTTTGGTCTAGAGTTGAAAGTAGGACTTCCTCTCTTCTGGCTTGTATCTGAGCTCCTTAAAAATAGAAATGCCCACAAACTCTAATTCATATGGATCACAGAGATGATAAGCCAGAATGACTACTTTATGCCTTTGACAGATCTTAGTCTTTTATACAGTGAGTAATACTTATGTAATTTTTCTTCAAGCAAATATACTTTACTCACTGTCTTCATACTGCATGTAGATAAGTAGATAATGAGTTTCAACCATAGCAGTAGAGTTTTGTGGATGCCATGCAGGGGAATTAGGTTGACTTTTAATGAATACTGTATTTTAGTGAAAGGATGGAAAAAGATATCCTGACAGCAGAAATGAGCAGATGTAGCCATCCTGATATCAGAGGAAATAGACTTTAATACGTGCACAAAAAAATAAGGAATACTTTAGATTAGGACTTCTCAAAATGATGTCTACAAAGATCTTCCTATTCTCAATGGGATGCAACCCTCCCTCCTCCAACTACTTAAAAGTCCTGTGTTGAAAAACATAATTTCTCCCAAAGGATTTCCTTTTCAGGGTTTTAGAGCTTCAGAAAGAAAGAGAAACCTATATAGTTTGGTGACTTAACTGACTGGGAATCTTTAATTCTTGCAGTGCCTAATATGGGATTTAGGATCTGGGTGTGGAAACAGAGTATAAGCCCAGTAATAAGTTAGAACTGGAGCCCCACTGGCTATTGGAAAACTGAATTATCTGTGAATGAAGTGGAAATAATCACTACAGGCACAGAATATATACCTTGTTCAACTCAGCTCACTTTTTTACCTATTTCAATAATTGTCAGAATCATTATTTAAAATATTCCTAGTTCAGTAATCAGAGTGTCATGGAATGAGTATCATAAAATTGGCTAAGTAAGCTGGTTGGTTCCCCTACCCTTAAGCTAGCAACCTTACATCATGAGGACCATGGCAGCTTTCTAACCTTTAATAAAGGTATTTGAGTGAGTGGAACATACACTTAAGAAATTTTTCTGGCCGGCACCATGGCTCAATAGGCTAATCCTCTGCCTTGCAGCGCTGGCACACCGGGATTTAGTCCTGGTCGGGGCGCCGGATTCTGTCCCGGTTGCCCCTCTTCCAGGCCAGCTCTCTGCTGTGGCCTGGGAGTGCAGTGGAGAATGGCCCAAGTGCCTGGGCCCTGCACCCCATGGGAGACCAGGAGAAGTACCTGGCTCCTGCCATCGGATCAGCGCGGTGCGCCGGCCTTAGTGCGCCTGCCGCGGCGGCCATTGGAGGGTGAACCATCGGCAAAGGAAGACCTTTCTCTCTGTCTCTCTCTTTCACTGTCTACTCTGCCTGTCAAAAAAATAAAAATAAAAAAATAAAAAAATAAATTTTTCTGTCATCCCATTTGTAAAAAGTTAACAGGAATTAAAACTTTGGAAGTTTGGTGATTGTTTATACTGAGATTTGTAGGTAGGAACACAGGGTTGTTCTTAGGTTATGTGATCTTCCAGCAGATGAAGCTTCTAGATACCAAGTGATAATGATCACTAGAAAGAGAAGCCACTTTTAGGAATGCAGAGTGAGCAACTGGGGATGCATTTGAAGTTCCTGTTTTTTTGCAAAATAAGTGTGTGAGATATATGTAAAATACAGTTAAGCCTGTATTCTATTTTTAAAACTGTTGCCTCATGTTGGGTTAATTTTGGAGTATAGAAAAATAATCAGGAATAAGTAGTCTGAAGGCCACATATGGCCCATCTTCTAATGAGAGATACAGTATTCAGTTCACACAGAGTAAAGCATCCATGACCTTTCTGTGACAAAAAAAAAAAAAAAGGTGGGAGTGACTTTTAATAACCTTTTCTTTTTTTTCAGTACCAATAAGTCTTGATTTATTCATTTTATTTCCCCAGGTAAAGGAGAAGGGATGGGGAGAGTCAGCATATGTGTTACAGCAATTAGAACATGGAAAAGGAAGTACCCAGTACAGCAAAAATCAACCTTCAACTAAACACACCCCATGATGGGGTCACCAAACTCAAGGGGCTTAGTCTCCGGCAGTTAAGGAATGAGGGGACACACGCTTTCTTACCCTCTCTCACTCCCATAAATTTAAGATTTCACACAAAGCTTTGGTTTCTAGCAGTAAACATGGAGTTACATTCGTCCATCTCCTATCAAACAATCTTGTGGCCACCTTGACATAAGTTTCTTGTACTTGCATAAAAGTTCCTGAGTGACTTACATGTACATTCATAGTCCCCTTCTTGGTCTCTGAACCCCACTCTGTTCTTTCAGGTTTTTATTGAATGATTACAAATTTCATATATACAGCTTTTAAAGATATAATATTTCCTCCCCCCCATTCCCACCCTCTCACCCCCCCACTTCCATTCCACCTCCAACTTCCTCTTCCATTCCATTTTCCATTAAGATTCATTTTTAATTGACTTTATATACAGAAGACTAGCTCTGTAGAGATTTCAACTCTGTAGAGATTTCAACTATTTGCACCCAAAGTATAAAGTACAGTCTGACAACAAGTTTTACTGTTAATTCTCATAGAAAACCTCATTAAGGAAAGAGGTCCAACATGGGGAGTAAATGCACAGTGACTCCTGTTGTTGATTTAATAATTAACTTTTTTTATGTCAGTGACCACCTGAGGCTCTTTATAAGAGCTGCCAAGGCTATGGAAGCCTTTTGAGTCCACAGACTCTATTGGTATTTAGTCAGGGCCATAATCAAAATGGAAGTTCTCTCCTTCAGAGAAAAGTACATCCTTCTTCGATGGTTCCTTCTTTCCACTGGGATCTCACTCACAGAGATCTTTCATGAAGAGCCATTTTTGCCACTATGTCTTGACTTCCCTGCCTGAAATGCTCTCATGGGATTTTCAGTCAGATCCAAATGCCTTAAGGGCTGATTTTGAGGTCAGAGTGCTATTTAGGGCATTTGTCATTCTATGAGTCTGCTGTGTGGACTGCTTTCCATGTTGGAACTTTGTTTGGTAATTCTATCTATTATTACCAGACACTTGGTCTTATTCATGTGATCCCTTTGACTTTTGTTCCTATCTATATGATCAATTCCACACTTAATACCATCACTTATCACATAAGATGGGATTAGTGGCACCAGTGAAATAGCATTTAGAATCCCATGGCAACTTTTTAGCTTCACTATTAGGGGTAAGTCTGTGGGAATGTGTGCCAATCTGTACAGCTCCTTCCCCTCTCATTCGTGCTCTTATTTTTAATTGGGATCTATTTTCAGTTGACTTAATACAGCTATGATTAATTATACTTTAAGTAAGGAGTTCAACCAATGGTATTAAGTAGAGGAAAAAAGAAAAAAAAAGATAAAATGAAATAATAAACTTCCTCAACAGTCAACACAAGGGCTGTTAATTGCTTCTTGTAGTATCTGTTCCACTTCTACAGGTTACCTTATAGGTGCTATGTTATCACAGATCAGGGAGAACATATGGTATTTATCCCTTTGGGACTGGCTTATTTCACTAAGTATGATGTTTTCCAGATTTATCCATTTAGTTGCAAATGACCAGATTTCATTTTTTTAACTGCTGTGTAGTATTCCATAGAGTACATATCCCATAATTTCTTTATGCATTGATAGGCATTTAGGTTGATTCCATGTCTTGGCTATTGTGAATTGAACTGTAATATGGAGGTGCAGATAACTATTTTATTTGCTGATTTCATTTCCTTTGAGTAAATTCTGAGGAGTGGGATGGCTGGGTCATGTGGTAGGGCTATATTCAGATTTCTGAGGTATCTCTAAATTGTCTTCCATAGTGGCTTTACAGGTTTGCATTCTCTCAATAGTGGATTAGTGTCCCTTTTTCCCCACATCCTCACCAGCATTTGTTGTTTGTTGATTTCTGTATGTAAACCATTCTAACTGGGGTGAGGTGAAAGCTCATCATGGTTTTGATTTGCATCTCCCTAATGGGTAGTGATCCTGAGCATTTTTTCATGTGTCTGTAGGCCATTTGGATTTGTTGTTTTGAGAAATGTATGTTTAAGTTCTTTGCCAAGTTCTTGACTGGATTGTTTGCTTTGCTATTGTTGAGCTTTTTGATCACTTTATATATTCTGGTTATTAATCCTTTATCAGTTGCATGGTTTGCAAAAATTTCTCCCTTTCTGTTGGTTGCCTCTTTTTTTTAACTTTTATTTAATGAATATAAATTTCCAAAGTACAGCTTATGGATTACAATGGCTTCCCCCCCATAACGTCCCTCCCACCCGCAACCCTCCCCTTTCCCGCTCCCTCTCCCCTTCCATTCACATCAAGATTCATTTTCAATTCTCTTTATATACAGATCAGTTTAGCATATATTAAGTAAATATTTCAACAGTTTGCACCCACATAGAAACACAAAGTGAAAAATACTGTTTGAGTACTAGTTATAGCATTAAATCTCAATGTAGAGCACATTAAGGACAGAGATCCTACATGAGGAATAAATGCACAGTGACTCCTGTTGTTGACTTAATAAATTGACACTCTTGTGTATGGCATCAGTAATCACCCTAGGCTCTTGTCATGAGCTTCCAAGGCTATGGAAGCCCCCTGAATTCACCGACTCTGATCATATTTAGACAAGGCCATGGTCAAAGTGGAAGTTCTCTCCTCCCTTCAGAGAAAGGTACCTCCTTCTTTGATGACCTGTTCTTTCCACTGGAATCTCACTCGCTGAGATCTTTCATTTAGGTCATTTTTTTTTTTCCAGAGTGTCTTGGCTTTCCATGCCTGCAATAGTCTCATGGGCTTTTCAGCCAGATCCACATGCCTTAAGGGCTGATTCTGAGGTCAGAGTACTGTTTAGGACATCTGCCATTCTATGAGTCTGCTGTGTATCCTGCTTCCCATGTTGGATCGTTCTCTCCCCTTTTTTATTCTATCAGTTAGTATTTGCAGACATTAGTCTTGTTTATGTGCTTCCTTTGGCTCTTATTCCTATCATTATGATCAATTGTGAACAGAAATTGATCACTTGGATTAGTGAGATGGCATTGGTACATGCCACCTTGATGGGATTGAATTGGAATCCCCTGGTCTGTTTCTAACTCTACCATTTGAGGTAAGTCAGCTTGAGCATGTCCCGAATTGCACATCTCTTCCCTCTCTTATTCCCACTCTTATATTTAACAGCGATCACTTTTCAGTTAAGTTTCAACACTTAAGAATAACTGTGTATTAATTACAGTATTCAACCAAAAGTATTAAGTATAACTAACAAAAAAATACTAAGAGGGATAACGTATTAAGTTGTTCATCAACAGTGAGGAGAAGGGCTGATCAAGTCACCGTTTCTCATAGTATTCATTTCACTTTAACAGGTTTCCTTTTTGGTGCTTAGTTAGTTGTCACTGATTAGGGAGAACATATGATATTTGCTCTTGTCTTTACTGTTGATGTACAATGTAATACTTTATCCATTTTAGTATTTTTTTTTTGTTCTAGTACTATTGGTTGAACTCTGTAATTAACACACAGTTATTCTTAGGTGTTTAAATTTTAACTGAAAAGTGATCCCTGTTAAGAATTTGGAAAACATTATGCTGAGAAATAAGCCAGTCTCAAAGGGACAAATATCATATGTTCTCCCTGATCGGTGACAACTAACCAAGCCTCTTTCTTGACTGTTTCTTTTGCAGTACAGAAGCTTTCCAATTTGATGTAATCCCATTTGTTAATCTTGTTTTTTTTTTTGTTTTTTTTTTTAGGGGTTCAGCAATATTTCATTTCTTTTTTTTTAACTTTTATTTAATGAATATAAATTTCCAAAGTACGATTTATGGATTACAATGGCTTCCCCCACATACCGTCCCTCCCACCCACTACCCTCCCCTCTCCCACTCCCTCTCCCCCTCCATTCACATCAAGATTGATTTACGATTATCTTAATATACAGAAGATCAGCTTAGTATACATTAAGTAAGGATTTCAACAGTTTGCTCCCACACAGAAACATAAAGTGAAAAATAATAGATGATTTTTTTTAAATGATGATGAAATCAGATCAGACCTATTGTCATGTTTAATCCCAGTGAGAGTCAAGTCGGAGTTGAATAATTTCTTTATTTTTTTTTTACAGAGGATCAGTTTAGTATACATTAAGTAAAGATTTCAACAGTTTGCACCTCCATAGAAACACGAAGTGAAATATATTGTTTGAGTACTCGTTATAGCATTAAATCTCAATGCACAGCACATTAAGGACAGAGATCCTACATGAGGAGTAAGTGCACAGTGACTCCTGTTGTTGACTTTACAAATTGACACTCCTGTTTATGGCATCAGTAATCTCCCTATGCTCCAGTCATGAGTTTCCAAGGCTATGGAAGCCTTTTGAGTTCTCCGATTCTTATCTTGTTTAGAGAAGGTCATAGTCAAAGTGGAGGTTCTCTCCTCCCTTCAGAGAAAGGTACCTCCTTCTTTGAAGTCCTGTTCTTTCCACTGGGATCTCACTCACAGAGATCTTTTGCCAGAGTGTCTTGGCTTTCCATGCCTGAAATACTCTCATGGGCTTTTCAGCCAGATCTGAATGCCTTTAGGGCTGATTCTGAGGCCAGAGTGCTATTTAGGACATCTGCCATTCTATGAGTCTGCTGAGTATCTCACTTCCCATGTTGGATCACTCTCCCCTTTATTTATTCTATCGGTTAGTGTTAGCAGGTACTAGACTTGTTTATGTGCGCCCTTTGACTCTTAGTCCTTTCATTATGATCAATTGTGAACTGAAATTGATCACTTGGAATAGTGAGATGGCATTGGTACATGCCACCTTGATGGGATTGAATTGGAATCCCCTGGTATGTTTCTAACTCTACCATTTGGGGCAAGTCAGCTTGAGCATGTCCCAAATTATACATCTCTTCCCTCTCTTATTCCCACTCTTTCTTGACTGTTTCTTTTGCAGTACAGAAGCTTTCCAATTTGATGTAATTCCATTTGTTAATCTTGGTTTTTATTGCCTGTGCCTCTGGGGTCTTTTCCAGAACTCTGTGCCTAGGCCGATGTCTTGCATGGTTTTCCCAATGCTCTCTAGTAACTTTATTGGGTCATAGATTTAGCCAAAATCCACTTTCATAACCTCTTATTCTCATATAAATCATAGCCATTTTGGGACAGGGTCTTTCCACAATCCCTTCAGAAAGAGGTCTGTAGCAGGACCCACCTCAGCAGGTGAGCAGAGAGCAGGACAAGTAGTCCTGGTACCCCATTGATCACCCTTTTAATGAAACTTAGTTTTCTCTTCTGAATTGCAAATTCTGCAGCCTTGTTTAAGAGATGCTACAGCATTTGAAAATGAAGCTCAGTTCAGGGGTCTTATGATTCCTAGGATGTAGATTTGCTCAATAGTGGGTGCACTGAGCTTAATGGAATAATCCATGCTAACTTTTGCTGATGAATGAATACGTGCACTTGGCACATATCTGTCCAGCTGGGAGAACTAGAACCACAGGTAAAGTGGTAAGCAGTTATTACTTACAAGCCTTTCTTTTTCATGGAGATATTCATTACTAAAACTAGTAATTCATTACTAAAATTAGTAAGAAGAGAATATTTTCATAAAAATTCATGTCTGTTATACATACAAAGCTAATCACTTTAAATAATAACCCATAAATATGTGCTGCCTCCCAAAATGATCCTTGTACTCTAGTATTTATTCCCCACTCTTTATTATCAGGGTTCTGACTTTGGTAATCTAAGATCTACACATTTCTGCATGTAGGAATCTCTACTTCCTTTAACGTGACAACAGTTCCAGCCTTGACAAGGTTGCTAGAAATTCTTTGACTCCTGCAGTTACTCTTGAGGAGCTCCAAGCACTATTTAATATCCTAGGGGTCACCTGTCATTTTTCTTAAAACTTCTGAACTTCTCATCTCTGTTCCTTTAGGATACTGTCTTAAGCCACTGCTTTGTTCCTTTGCATTTCAAGGACAATGCAGAACTGAGACTAGTTTGTAGTCATAATTATCATTTTGTAAAAATGTGTTAATTCTCTTATTACAATACAAAATAAATACTTAAAATGCATGATAGATTAATTGCATCTCAAGTTGTCATACTCTTTTCTCGAAAACTTCACCCTCATCCGACCCAAAACTGTTTAATATCATAGCATATATGTAGTTCTCCCACAATAGGGGCTATTCTCTTTTGAAAGTGCAAAGGTTTAAATGCCCTTTTATGTGTTGGAAACTCAATCCTTAAAATTTATGTGTTGAGAAGTAGGGACTAAATAGAGGTTCTAATGCATCCAGTAATGTTGTTATCACTGTAGTAGTTTAGTCACCACAGGAAAGGGTTTATTAGAAAAGTAAGTTCTGCCCTCTTGCCCTTCTGCTTTCTGCCATGGGCTGACACAGCAAGAAGGTTCTTACCAGATACTAATACCTTGTTATTGAACCCCACCCCCAGGCTCCAGAACTATGTGAAATAAATTCATGTTCTGTAAAAACTACACATTGTCAGGTACTCTGTTAATAACACACAAAGAACTAACACATCGGTATCAAATTTATTTTTTTAAGACAGTAAGCATCATTCACTACATTAAAATTTGAAATTACTACATGTTAAGAATTTCAATTCTGCTCAGAAGAGAATTGTGTCATTCATTTATGCACCTGTAGTGATCATTCCAGAAGTCTTCAGTGAGGTTTCCACCAAGAATTCAGTAAAAAATGTATCACTAGCAGTTGATTCCAAATATGATCAACTATAATGGGTAAGAGAACAGGCAGGAGCAGAATATACCATGGTAAATAGGTAAATATCCAGGGCTTAGAATCAAGACATAATTTTAATAAGAAATATGTATTTATTCATTTATTTTATAAACAGAACCAATTTCTTGTATATACAATTTTAAGGACATTAGGATACTTCCCTCCCTCTTTGATATGTTTTGTATCTAGTTTTACATGAATCATTATATCAGCATAACCAGCTACATTTAGTATGGTAAAGAGACTAAAGAGTAACAATGTCAGTGACTGCAAGATTGCTTAGGGATAAGGGCCCTATCAGCCCAAGAACCAACATCTCTGGAGTTAGGTTATACTTTCCAACACTAGCTCACATAGTCCAGTGATCCCAGCCATGATGGTAAGCTGATGAACTCTTCTGGCTCAGTCAGCATGGTGTTAATTACCTTTGTAATAAATTTAGATTTTCATATAACTTTCATGCAAAGAGAGAATGGAGAGCCCATATGCCTTTGATGACCCATTCCCCTTAATTTTAACCATCAATTTAGGTTTAGACATAGTTTAATATTAATGCTTGTGAATTGTGTCTATTACTGTGCTTCATATAACTTAGTCCATCAAGGTTTTGGCCTGATAAGGGAAGACAAACTCTAAACTGTGGGGTTTTATTTTCCATTCCAGTTTTGTCACCTGACCTCAGTTTCACAATCCCATATTTTGTATATCATTTTGTTAACTCTTCTACCGTTTTGTAAGAGGTATTCACAAATAGTAAAATATTAAGGGCTTCATTGTAAAGAAAATCTTCATTGGGATAGTGTTTTGAGTGCCTAATATCTTTGTTTTCTAACAATATTGGCCCCTATTATTTAGATTGTATCTAAAAATGTAACATATCATTTGATTCAATAAAAATTTAAACTGGGTATGTGTTCCCAAGCTGAAATCTGCTGAGATTATAGTTTTACTTAGTAGTTTATGGAGTGGGAAGAAACAATAGCATTTGGATTTCAGGAGTGGCAGTGATATAAGGTAAATAGGTGACTATCCAGGGCTGAGAATCAAAACAGATGCTTTATTTTTAAACGAAAGTTTTATTTATTATTTTTTATTTATATAAACAGAACCAATTTCTTGTATTTCATATATATAATGGCAATGGTATAATAGCAAATTTATAAGAAAAAGTATTCGGTATAGAGCTGTTACCTGGATATAAATATTGGCTCATTAAGTAGTTTCAAACCTACTTGAAGGGAAGTTTTAAAAAATTATTATGAAGTTACGCGTTAAAACTTTTAACATTTTCTTCTGGGGTTGAGATTGGGGTAAGAAGGACCCACTGTTTGGGCCACAGCCTGACAGACATTCCCAATAGAACATTCAGCAGCTCTGTTGTCCTGCTCCTGTCACCTCACTGAGGGTGGCCCAGTTTTAGGAGGATCAGCCTTGATGTTTGAGTCACCCCTGGCCATTGTAGTCCTCCCATCACAAGACAGGTCAGGGCAGGCATGTGGAGGAAAACAGTCAATAGCATGGGAGGAAAAGCACTCCAGAGGGCTTCTGGGAAGGTAGTTAACTGATTTTAAAAAGAGACGTAGTATATTGAATTGAATCAAGAGAGAACGCTCGAAACTATTCTATTCTTGGTGAGGGGGACAGATTTAAACACCAGTGTCAACACAGGTGAGGATGTTAGACAAAAAAAAAAAAGAGAGAGAGAGAAAAAAAGAGAGTGAGCGAGCCTAGGGCCTTTGATGCTCTTGTACCTTTGAATTAATCTTAGAGCCATCTATATGATTTGAGGCTAGGTCAGAGAGGCAGAACCACAGAGAATGATGGAGAACAAGGATTTCTTCTAGGGGTGCCAAGCCTGCCTGAAACTGCTGTAAGTAAGCCATGCTACCAGTTGGGAAGGAGAGCTGGACAGGGAGTGATGAGATTGAGGGTGAGGAAGAGTCCATCAGAAGAGACTACAGCCTGCACCTGTCAGTCACACCCTGCCCGGCCTTGCTGTGGCTGATCAGCAGATGTGGTGTACATTGCTGTGGAGCTGCCTGCATGCCTGGCCAGGACTCTGCAAGGGGAAGGGGAGACTGCAGGAGCCGCAGGAGCTTTGGGTCCAGGAATTGTGGGTACTCAGGGAAGCTGCCAATCTCTGCTAGCTCACCTCTCTGGCCTGTGGTATATTTTCAAGGTGTCACCGTCCTAGGGCCGTACACTGACTTCATGAGAATGAAAGAAAGAGCTGCTCTTTCACTTTTGCCTACCAAGGTACAGATTTCTCTTGTGACTACTCCAGTGAAGACCAGAAAGAAATTCTAGAAC